TTCCTTTGATGTCCCCCCTCACTGCCCTCCGCCCTTTCCTTCCACCTCCTCTTCCTCCCAAGCCAGGTCTGTGAAGTGAAACAATCGACACCTTAAAAGAGCTTCATTTCTGAGAATAAATTAAATTTTTTAAAATAAAATGTAAAAAAAACCCAAAACACTAAAGTTACCAGTATATACAGTTGTTGAAAATGGGGAGACACCTTTGAGGAGAATAGGATCCTTGGGGTGTAGCCTGGTCCCCCAGACATACTCAAAAGCCACGGTACCCTAGGAGGTTCCCCAGAGCCCGGGTCAGGGGCGCCACCTGTCAGCCCAGAGCAGGGAACAGACCGGACGTGACTCCTTAGTTTAAGAATTGAACTTCCATTGATTGGGAAGTGAAGCCCCTTAAGATGGGAAGCCGCAGCTGGCCACAGTCAGAAAAGTCGACTAGGGGAGGAAATGAACCCCGGCAAAGAGAAGAGAGGCCTGTGGGCCGCGCAAAGCCCGCATCTTCACACAGGAAGTGGGGCAGGGACACGAAGGCAGCCCCTGGGCCTTCCCAAAGTCACAGGAGGGGGGAGTTCTCAGGAAGAGCCCAGGAAGGAGACCATCTGCCCTTCCCAGTAGAGTGGGAACTGAGGCCTCTTCAAAGAGGTATTTCTCGGCAGCCAGGAGGTGGGCAGCCAGGACCACTGGACTGGTGACTCATGAGACGATCTCCTTGGAGTCCCACCCAGAGCTGGAAGGGAGGCTCAGGCCCCAGGCAGGAAGGCCCAGGCAACGGGACTTGAGACCTGGTTCCCAGGAAACAGTCCCAGTACAGGGCACACAATCCCTGTCTGCCGGACAAGATGTGCCTCCTGTCCAGCCAAGAAGCAAGGCAGAAAGAGTCCGCTGTGACAGAAGTGGTGCAGCCTCTGAAGGAAGTCCTGCCTCCTCTGCCCAGGGTGTTTGGCCTTGAGCAGAGCCAAGTCCCTCACAGCTCGGTCTGTCCACTGGCCATATTCCCGGGTCACTACATAGCCTCGACATTTCCTCTCGAAGGCTGAGGCCCCAGAGGTGACAAGCCTGAGAGTGTCCTCCTCCGGGGGGATGGGCAGGCCCAGGGCAGTCATGATGGCAGCCACGTTGCCCAGCAGGCCTTGGGCCCTGAGTCTTGCAGCCCTGAGCTGAGCCAGCAGGACAGGACTGCCAGGGTTCAGGTAGCTCTGGTCGTCCCCCACGAGCTGGAGGTGCTGAGTCAAGGCCAGGAAGGCCCCCTGGGCCTGGCCCAGCCGCTCCCCATCATCCAAGGCATGCCAGGTTTTGAAGGAGACAGCGGCAGGCGGCAGGCTGCTGAGCTGGAGCTCGGGCTGAGAAGCCAGGGTCACTAGAAGGGCTGCCCTGGTACTGGAGCTGCATGAGGGACAGAGACAGAAGTGAGGGGACTAAAGGGGTACCTGAGGCTCCGTGTGATTTCACATCTGCCTTCTGTGAGACCAGCATCTTCCCAGGGGGAGTTGCCATCCACTACCCCTCAGAGAGTCGGTGGGAGGTCCTAGCACAGGGCCTGGGCTCTACTGAGTTCTAGTTTAGTTCCCTCCATGTGCAAGTTGTGTAACTTTGAATCACGGCTTCAATAATCCCCATGTGTCAGTATTATTGTGAGATGATAAAGCCCCTAGGACAGCACCTGGCATACAATAAGAGCATGATAAGCCACCGTTAATAAATAACATATTTATATTAATATCATGAACACAGGTTATGTTAATTATTTATTATAATATTTTCGATCCAAATATGTCATTGACAATGTAGTTACAGTACGTATATTTCTTTTTTATTTACAGCACTTAGTTGTTTATGTTTGTTAATTTTATTATAAAAATTGATAAATAATTGTTAATATTATTAAGTTTAGTTGAGTGCCTTCTCCATTAAAGTTCTTGCCTCCACAAACCTAAATCCACAGAATCTCAGTGCTCACTAATAAATCCCCTCATTCATACATTACCTAGCCCTACATCCCCATTTTACAGGTGGAGAAACAGGCTCAGGGTGCCCAAAGCTACCCAGGGAATGGTGGCAGCTATGGGACTAGGAACTAGATTTAGTAACTTCACATGGGCCTGGAACATAGGACAGTGGAAGAGTCACAAACTCCTGAGGTCCCCGGGCCAGGCAGATCATGACCTTGGGGAAGAAAGCAAGACTAAGATGGGCAGGGGTGGGGGAGCAGGCGCTTTGGCCAATAGGATTCCTGTGCCCGGTTTAGACAGGCATTTATTTTCGAAATTGAACAAGCACTGCGTGGCCCAACCAGAAAACAGGCCTGGCCAACAGGCTGCCTGTTTGAACTTCTAGATAGTTGGGGGATGGGGGAGTTGGCATCAAATGTCATAGACCTGGTTTAAGATCCTGGCACTTTCAATTACTAGCTGTGTGACCTCCAGCGAACTATTCACCCTCTCTCAGACTCAGTTTTCATATCTGTAAAGTGGGTTATAACTCCATGTCTCAGAACTTTCGGGGGGGGTCAATAAGATGATGGGAGAGAGTGCCCAGCATGGCATAAAGATCAAATAAACAACATAGCCAGGTGCCTGTGGAAATGATCAGGACCCGGCAAAGCCCCTCCCTCTGCGTGCTTCCTTTGAATCTTGAAACAGTCCCAAGAGGTCAGCAAAGGCAGGATCACCAACCCATTTTGCAGATGGGGAAGCTGAGACTGAAAGAATGGGTCACCAGCCATCAGTGACAGTGTTCATGTGGGCGTGTCTCTAGTTGACAGCCCCTGTAGCCTCAGGCTCATAGAGGAACCTTCCCCTGGCCTTGCTCTGTTTCCCCTACCCAGAGCTGGGCCAGGAAGGCAGAGTCCCCTCCCCTCATTCCCTCGCATGCCTGGTGTCACTCACATAAGCCTGCAGGAGCACTGACGTATTCTTCTGCATGTAGAGGGCAAGGCTATAGGCTTGGCTGATGGACTCAGCTGGCGAGATGGGGGCCCCCAGACCAAGGGATGGTAGCAACAACGCCAGCAGGCAGAGGGGGGCTGGCAGAAGACATCAGAGGTCAGTACCAGTCCCCAACCCCAACTACTGATTCATTTAGTCCTCATGACAGTTCAAATGGAAACAGCCCTTGTGGCCTACAACAGTCTTATGTATCCAGGTCAGGGCAGAGTCACCCTGAACATTCCAGCCCAGAACATTCCCTTGAACTCCAGACCCATGTATTCAACTTGCTGCTTGACATTTTCCCTTAGATATTAATAAGCATCTCAAACTCGAAATATCCACTGCTCAGCTCTAGATTCCCCCTCCCCTGGTCTTCCCCCATCTCTGGTAAGAGCACTTCTGTTCTTCCAGTTGCTCTGGTCAAAGCCAGGGGGTCCTCTTTGAGGCTTCCTTCCTCTCTATGCTCAGCCCCACAGGAAATCCTGTTTTTTCTGTCCTTAAAAGGTAGCGAGCACAGGTCTGTGCTTCTTGAACCTAGTGTGCTCATGACAGGGCTATATTCACTTTGTGAAAATTCATTGAGCTGTACACTTATGACTTGTGCACTTTTCTGTATATTTGTCCTTTGCAATAAAAAGTTTTAAAAGATGTATCCAGAATCTAACCACTTCTCCCCTCCTTTGGCTGTTACCACCTGAATCCCAGCCACCAGCCCCTCTCACTGACCATTACAGTGGCCTCCCCACTGGTCTCTGCTCCCACTTTTGCCTCCCCCATCCCCCATGCAACCCCTCAAGTCCAACTAGATCCCTCCTCTGCCTGAAGCCTCTTGTGGCTCCCACCTCACACGGAGTATAAAGGCCAAGTCCTCGGTGTGGCCGAGAAGACCTGCCCTCTGCACCAGCCTCCTTTCTGTTCTGCAGCCTTTTCCCTCAGGCCTGCCAGGACCACCCAGAACCTTCCCGAGGCTGGCTCCTCCTTGTCCTGTGGGCCTCAACTCATATATCAAAAGCCTCTCCCTCTCCTGGAGTTATAGTCTTTACAGACTCCTGCTATTTTCAATTACCTCATTTATTTCTTTGTCTACGTGCTTGTTGTCTCTTCCTCTAGAACGTTGGCTCCAGGAAAGAGGAAACCGCACCTGGTTCATTCACTGCTGGTTCCCCAGCACCTAGCACAGGGCTTAATATTTGCTGGGTGAATGAAGGCTGCCACAAACATCTTTGTCCCAGCCTCTGTGGGCACTGTTGAAAGTGTGACTATCTGGACTGAAGGGTGTGCTCATTTTATTTATTTATTTTTAAAATTAAAAAAAAATGTTTTTATTGATCTCAGAGAGAGGAAGGGAGAGGGAGAGAGAGAGAAATATCAGTGATGAGAGAGTCATTGACCGGCTGCCTCCTGCACGCCCTCTCCTGGGGATCAAGCCCGCAGCCTGGGCCTGTGCCCTGACCGGGAACCAAACTGTCACCTCCTGGTTCATAGGTCGATGCTCAACCGCTGAGCCACACCGGCTGGGCGGAGGGCATGCTCATTTTAAATTTGAGTAAACGCCGCCAAATTGTCCTCTCAAAGGTCAGGCCCAGTTTATGTTCCCACCAACGGTGTGAGGCTCAGAGGTGGGAGAGTTACCGAAGGTTGCCAGCTGAAAGCAATGGATGTGAGAGGCAAACCAGGATGGCCTCCTTCACTCTCCTTTCTGCTTTCCTGAGTTCCTAGTGGTTCAGAACTGAGGGGAAGGCTGAAAGTGAAGGCCCTTTCATTCTTTCATTCAGTCATTCATTCATTCAACAAACTTGGATCATTGCACTCATCTTCTATCACACTGGCATTCTGTTTACTTATTTATTAAATGTATTGTCTGTGTGCAGAAAGAAATCTCCATGAGACCATAGATTTTTGTCTGTTCCTTGCTTGATCCTCAGGTGCTTAGAGTATTACCTAGCACAAAATAGTCACTCAATAACTATTTCTTGAATGAATGAATGAATGAAGCCTTCCACGTGTAAGGATTTGGTGGTTCTCAGTAGATGGAGACAGCCAGGCACAGCTGAGTCAGAGTGCCTGGGGCACTGTCCCCTCCCCTCTTGGTATCTTGACCTGGGCCGCATCCCCCTACTCACCCAGAGAACAGTTCATGCTCTCTCCTTGGCTCCTTCCTCTCTGCAGTCTCTGGGTTGTCCTGGTGTACTTGTCCTCCTGTCCCTCAGATGGCTTTATACCTGGGGCTGAGGCCTGGGGCTGCCCAAGAGGGAAGGAGGGAATCACAGGGGAGGGGGGGAGGTACAGAAACTCCAGAGACTCCAGAGGCAGGGAACAGGCTGGGAAGGGGACACTGAGATGACATCCTATTCTCTATAGCCCCCAAACTCTACCTTAAACCCTCGTTGCTGGGAGGGAGGGGCCAAGGGCAGGGAGGGATTATAGGGGACAAAGGGGCCAGCCAGTTCCCTGCAGCTCTGCACGTCCTGGGATCCAGTTTCCCATGAGGAGTGGCCCCTGCTCCACCCCACAGGGACCCAGGCATTGGGCCCTGGCTCCCAAGGAGTTTGGAAAAGGAACAGGAGGGGTGGCCTGTGAGCAAAATCGCCCACACCCAGGTGCACTCCTAGACATAGGAGCGAACCCACGTCTACACACACGTTGGCACGTGGGCACACACCAGACGTGTGCACACGCTTTCATCTGTTCATTCATTCAAGTATGTATTGACACCTACTGCCTGCTGGTCCCTGTTCGAGGTGCTGGGATAGAGCAGAGAACAAGTCAGACAAAAACCCTTGCCCTCGTGGAGCTGACACTTCATGCCTACACACATGCGTATCACACACAGCCAGCCAGGCCTGCACACATTCCACAGAGAGAGCCTATGTACAGATGAGTCCACACGTGTCCACACAGGCGCACAGATATGTGAATGCAGAGCCACGCTGGAGGCCTTGCCAGAGGTGCATTCATAGAGCAGACACAAACATACATGGGTATATACATACCATGGCCACGTGTGTGCACACAGACACACATGTAGCTGGGGGTCAGGGAGCGGGCCTAGCCACATCTCAGGACCTAGCCACATCTCGGTCTTTGTTATCCTGGCAGCTCTTGGGCCAGTGCTGCCCTCTGCCCAGGCACAGCACACAGACACAGGCAGGCATCTGGGGCCCTCCCCGCTCCAAGCCTTGTAGCAGAGGGGTGGTGAGGAGACCGGTGCCGGTTCTCATCCCTCTCCAGAGCTTTCCCAGTCTCTTCATCAGGGGTTATTGTTCATTTCTCAGCCTCTCCCCACCTGCTGAGTCAGAGGGTCAGTCAGACCCCTACCCTGCTTCCATCCAGTTGGAGGCTGGAATTACTGCTCCCCCCTCCCCCAGTGTTTGGGGCTGGAGTGGAGAGAGAAGGCCCATACCCTTCTTGCTTAGGCAGGAGGTACATCTATTCATTCATTCAGCCATGTATACATGCCCTCAGCGAATATCGATGGAGCCCCTACTGAGTGCTGGCACTGGGGTGAATAATTAGACAGGCCAGGCCCCTTCCTAACCGGGCACACAGTTCAGTGAGGGGGACCAGCAACAAGCATATGAACTGATAAAAAAAAAATTCCTAAAGCAATAAGGTGCTGAAGAGAAGCCAAAATAGGTTGTGATTAGCTGGAGGTCAAGGAGACTTAGATAAGGAGCCTGAGGTCCAGAGAGGAGTGGTTACTTACCTGGAGTCACACAGCAAGGCCAGGACAGATCCTAGACTCCTGCTCCCCAACTTGGGACTGGATCTGGCGTGTCCCTGACCTGAACCGTGAGCTGAAAGCAGAAAGAGGCTGAGGGAAAGATGGGTTCTGAGGTGAGGGATCTTAAATTGAGCCTCTAAAGTGGGGGGCTGCCAGACAGGACCTGTACTGGGCAGGTGGTTATGTCAGGGGATTAGAATAGGCCCATTGACTGGGCGCACTGAGGCGTAGGCCAGGCCAGGTAGTGGACGAGGGGGACAGGAGAGCAGAAGGGAGGAGGGAAGAGGAAGCAGATACCCGATTGGGTGCTATTCACAGGCAGACAGACTCACGCCCACCCGGCCACACCCTCTCCCGCTTCTCGCAGGGGCTTCACTTTCTCTCTCTGGATCCCAGGTGCCCCTTCACAGCTGGGGAAATTGGCCCCCACCCCAGGCCCAGCTCCCTTTGTCCAAGGCACCAGGCTTGGCAGAGGTCGCTAGCTCTGCCAGCCCACCTGTCTCCAACTCTATTTTGTTCCCACCAAAAGCTGATGCCTGAGGAATCCTAGTAACTTAGGAGTCAGCAGACTTGGGTTCAAATCCTGCCTTTGTTCGGCACTAGCTTTGGCAAGTTACTTAACCTCTCTGAGCCTCCGTTTGCTTCCTCATCTGGAAACCCGGTTAATATCCACCCCCCAGGCTTTCACTGACTCCACCACCAGGTGCCTTCACTCCTGCAAATCTTCATCACCACTTCTCCAGTCAGAGAACAGTGCGTGCAAAGGCCCTGAGGTGGGAGCATGCTCAGCAGGTTTCAGAACACCAGACAGCAGAGATTGATGCTTGGGGAGATATAACAGGATACGGAAGAGCAAGGGTTGCCCTGTCCCCTCCTGCCACCCCCATACCTTTCCTTGACTCCCCAGTGCCCTTAGGAGAAAGTTCCCATTCTGTAGCCTGGCCTTCGAGGCCTTCAACCCCGAGTCCCTGTGCACTCTCGTGCCTACTTCTCGCTTTCCCTCACCTTCTGCCTCAGCTACACAACCTGCTTTTTTTTCTTTTCAATTCTCACCCAAGGATATGCTTTTATGGATTTTAGAGAGAGAGGAAGGGAGAGAGAAACATTGATTGGTTGCCTACTGGAATCAAACCTGCAACCTTTTGGTGCACAGGATCACCCTCCAACAGACGCAGCCACCTGGCCAGGGCTGCCCAACCTGCTTACAGTGCCTGCTCAGCACCAGGCCTTCTCACAGGACTCTCCCTGTGTAAAAAGCGCTCCTGCTCCCCCCTTACCTGACACAATCCTTCTAAACTTCGGCTTGGGTTTTACCTCCTCGGGGAAGTTTTCCCTCTCTCCTCTGCCTCTCTGGGCTCCCGCAGCCCCCTCTGCCCTCCTT